AACATCATAGAGTGGTTCATTAGTGAAGATTGTTCTGCAGAATGAAATCTGTCAAGATCAGAAACTGTTGTTTGGAAATGGAAAAATCCCATTGGCTTTTTGTGGAGGGAACCAGGGTGATGCTTACTTCCTGGTTGGACTACAGAATTACATCATCCCTGCAGAGCTCTGAGCAGATTGTACTTTATATTAAAGCTGTTGAAGTAAAAGCAGCCACAGGTTTCCATAGAGTTCCTCCAGCAGAAGTGTGAGTTTACAGCTGTGTTCATACTTTGAGAACAAGAGCAGAGCAGGAGGTTTTTGTTGGAGCCTCGGGGTGTTTGAGATTAGTCGGTGGTGGGGGTGGTGGTGGTGGTGTTGCGGGGGCTTGTGTCTGGGAAAGCGGCTGCCGTACTGAAGTGTTCTTGAGCAGGACACTCTGCACACCAGTTCCCATGTGGAGGTGAACAGCTGACCCCTCTGCTCCGACCTTCCTGTGCTTTGGCAAAGTGGAGCCGATGTCACTGCAGGGGTCAATCAGGTAGCTCATTATTATTCATTATGAAGCAGGATTCATTATACACACACACACACACACACACACACACACACACACACACACACACACACACACACACACAGAACGCTCTCAACCTTGAAGTCTCATTCTAATGTCGTCTTCCTGGTCGGTCAATTCAACAGAGCTGAAATCACTACAGACGTTCTGCAGGTTACGACAGTGACTGAGAGGGAAAATATAGATAAATAAAAACACACATGGAACAATAAACACAAACATAAACATAAACAATGCCCCGGGATGTAGACGAACATCTCACTAGTAGAACTTCTGCCACCTTAAAAATCAAGATGGTAAACAATTAAAGGACAACAAAACATGAAAAATGTAAAAGGCAACAACGAGATGTTGAAACGGACAGAAACAAACTAAAAACCACGTGCCCTGGTGCATTTTGGGAAACTGAGTCATTTTTTGGATGAGGGTGCTGATGCACTCTAGCAGCCTCAGTAGGTTTGATAGTGAGACTTGAAGCTGTTGTTGGGAAACAGTGAACCTGATCTTTCCACTTATTAGTTGGAGAATCTGAAATCTAAACTTCATTTTACAGGGTAGTTGTTGTTGTTATTTGCTAACTGCATTAGTTGATAAGTTAATAAATGGTAACGCTCCGTTTCATTGGTCGCCTGTCAGTGACGTCATATCCTCTATGTGAATGTGTCAGTGTTGTGTTTGTCTTTGACCTTTTATCCATTTTTAAGTCACATTTGTAAGATTCACTTTTTACACCTTGGTGGTTTTCAGCTCTATATTTTATCCAGATGAAGGATTTTAGTCGTCGGATGTTTGGATCTGAATTTATCAGAGAAACAAGCTGAGGAAATGTGAGACAGCTCAGCTCCAAGACGTCCAGTGTCCACTTCTTTAAAGTGAAACTGCTTTATTCAGTGTTTCTGCTGGTTTCAATCTCCTGGTCCGTTTGTGATGGAGAGGAGGAAACCTCTGAGGATCATTCAGCTGAGCGTAAAACCCTCCTGAACGTCTGGTTCATAAGTTATTAAAGAAACAAAGGTTAGCAGCAATCTCAGCTCCCAGCTCGTCCCTGACGTCTCCAGTGTCGGTGAAACACTGACTTTAAATGTAAACGCTGCTTCATTCAGTGTTTTTACTGGTTATAATCAGCTGCTCTGTTTGTTGTGGAGAGGAGGAAACCTCTGAGGATAATTCAGCTGCTGGTAAAAACCTCCCATACGAAGACAACAACAACTCCCATGATCCCACGCTATTTCATGAGAGACCGCTGGTGGCAGAAGTCACATACTGTGTGTTTAAGTTTTCCGTTTTTGTAAACACGGTTATAAGAACAGACAGTTTTTAGGTTGCATTAGTGGTGGTGTTGTATTGAATCACATTATCAGGTTTATCTCTCTTGAATGAACATCAGTATTACACCAGTATTGGATATACAGGTTCAGACCTGGGCTTCACCTTCTGATCCATTACAAGTCGTTTACTGTCGTGTTTATATGTTTTGTATAAAGACGTCTCTGATTCGTCGGGGTGAGTCCGGTCTTGGCAGGAGACGTTGGATCTGTAAAATCTAAACTCAAAAATCTGTTACTGTGGCAGAAACTCAAGTGGCTCCAAAAAACACAGAGCAAGTGATGAAAATCGGCGTCACGCTGAATCTTTAGTTGCTGGGTTTCTCTCGTAGGGGCGGCGGCACATCTCCTGATTCGAATCCGAGCTGCGTTTAACCTGGTGGCGGAGACTGAAGCATCTCTGCATTTGTGATTTAAGTGGATCGTACTATTTGCCCACATGCTACACTGACCTTGAGGTCCTCCCACTAGTCATGAATATTTATGCTTGTGAGTCTTTATGCAGACACGAGAGACTTATGATAAAATCTCCGCTCTGCCTCCTACCTGATGTCTTTGAGCTGACAACATAGTGTAGGAACCACAAGTTTCTTTAGTCTGAGTCTTTCCTCCATCAGCGTTACAGACGTCCTGTAGCCGTGGTGGAAATCCCCGTCTCACATCACACGCTGCTGCTGCTGCTGCAGGACTTTCCTCATGCAGATGATGTAACAGGGAAACAGCAGCTGAGCTGAGTGTTTCAGCTCCGTCAGGTCTGCGCTGCTGAAGCACGGTGGTGGAGGTCGGACACTGTGGGAGGATGTGGACGGTGGAAACGGTGAGGTCACAGACCGCACAGTGTCTTGGATTACCGGGGTTTTGGGTCAGCACAATGACAGATGTAAAGTTTCCTCTTGTGCTTTGAGTCGTGTGTTTTTCTTTTGTCCCAGGTTACATAAACTCTGGAGTTATTATTTTATTATTGGGATCAATATAAAGATCAGATATCTGGAGTCTCTTTTGATTCTTCACAGTTAGACATATGAGCCTCCGTTGGCAAGACGACCCAAAATGTAATAAAACTTATTTAATTACTACATGAACCTGAAGGTGAGGTTTTTACTGAACATGTGACTTCTGTTCTTCTAATATTTTGCATATCAGTGGTTATAAATAATGACATTTATTATACCCCCAATATAATCATTGATAAGCAGGTAATTAATGGGTTATAACACACTATAATAGAAAATGCATTTGTCACCAACTCTTCTAATGAACCCTCTTTTCTTAACTTTTTTCACTTTTTATTTAATTATTTTTAATATTACAAATGACTAATATTCATAATTATCTGAATGTTGAGTGTTTTGTTTATTTGACATATTTATACACTTGAATTTACTATTAGTTTTATTATTTTGTTTCTAATTTTTCTAAGTAATTTTTTGGGCTTACCTTTTGACTACCTCGTAACACACACACACACACACACATCTCCTGCTGCTGTAACTGTATATTCAGAGAGCGATGCTCAGCTGTAGCGCGATGCGACATGATGCAGTCATATTGTGACTGATGCCTCAGACTGATGATGGCTTCAGTGCTCAGCCGCTGTCGTCCTCCATCGTTTTCATTTGCTGTGTTGTTTCATGTTTCATGCTTTTACGTTATTGACTGTGCACTGAGCAGGGTCAGTATTATAAAGTCTATTTTTAACCCCCCCTGAGGACTGAAGTGTATGTCTGCTGGAGGCCTCTCTTTACTGGCCGCGTGTCACATTGGTAACGCCGACGTTGTCCTCCGACCCGCAGCTTCACCGCTTGTTTTGTTTGGTGAAATACAGCAGATGAATTAACAGTGTTAATACTCTGGTTGTTCTGGTGGTGGTGCTGTTTGGGCTGTGTATCAGAGAGGCTGTGCCGCCCCAGGGGCTGATGGGAAAATATTCTGCAAATTTTTTTTTTTTTTTTAGTCACAGTGTGATTCACACATCCAGTAGCTCGTCAGTAGAATCTGATTTCTGTGATTCTTCTTCTTGTCATGTTTCACTCTTTCCTGTTTGTGATTCATTGAATCCTCAGGAGGGTAACAAAAAAAATCCCTCTCATTCCTCCTCTTTTCTCCTTTCACCTCTCCTTCTCTCTCAGCTTTCTCTGTATCTTATCTTTGTTTTTCCACTGGATTTTATATCAGTATATATCATGTATGTCTCACCTTCCCAGATAATATTGATAACTTATGTCTCTGTCCATGTGTAGTGTGATTATAGATCAGCTCTAGCTTCTATATTAATACTGTGAAAGTATCAAAGCCTCAGTCCACAGAGAAATGCACACAGCCTGTATTCAGAAACTGAGCCTTAAAACCAGCCGTCAGGACTTCTGGAACTTTGTGATGTCACAACAAAGCAGTCACCAAGCCCCGCCCACCTGGACCCACCATCCAAACCTTGCAGGATTTGGTTTCTCTGAGTGTTTTTACCTGAAATCTGCTATATTTTTATTGGATCAGTCAGAAAACAGTCAGCCAATCAGAAGAGAGGCTCAGAGCCTCCTCTCTTCTGATTGGCTCACCGACCTGTTGTTACTAGAGCTGCAGAGAGAAGCCTGAGAGAGGAGATGTGAAACTACACTGAGATGGTTTTTATATCTTCTGATGGATCAACACTTGAAATAAAACACAGAAGAAGTTTAAATATTGACCTTTAACTAATATTGATAACTTTGAATTAATATTACCGATATATGTTATATGTGCTAAGCTAAAATTACAGGTTTTAGCGTAGCATGATACAGATTTAGTTGAACTTGTGATCACATGACTAGTTGTGCATATTGTTACCTAGACTTCAGGGCTGCTGTTGCTAGCTGCAGTTAGCGGGCTAGCTGTTTAACCGCTAACAACCCGCCTCTAGCTTTTGGCCGTCCAACCAATGTCACATAGTCCCAGCACTTGCTCTTTTTTAGCTCTGCTTTGGGTCTCCACCAGCTCTTTGTCAGAATAAAGAATCAGGCTCTTTAGCATCAATATATTCCACAAGGTTCATCAGCTAGTTGCCAGAATTTTCTGTTTGATGCTGGATGAGAATTTTTGTTGTTTTGTTTGAAAACAGCTGCTGCTGAAAACGAGGTTAAAGACGAGAGCGGAGGGCGAACAGTTAAGCTGCGGGACGAGAGAAGGAGCTGAGAGTCGGGTGAAAACTCTTTGAGTGTTTGCCAGCAATGTTTTCTTGTCACACACAGTTATTTGATCAATTTTTACATGAAAATACTGAATGAAAAAGAGGAATAATTGTGATCATACTAAATAAAAAGCTGGTATTGAAATAATGGACAGAAGGAGAAACACAAGCTTGTTGCTAATCAAGTAAAACACATTGAGTGGAGGTGGAATTACTGGTGTAATGACTCACAGTAAATTACAGTCTAATATTTCCACAGCATTAATTCCATTAGAACAACAGCAGAGTCAGGTGATGCTCTATTCACCACTCTGCTGCTCTCTCTCATTAACAGAGATGCTGTTTTCATTTGGTAATTAATTCTGTTCGCTTTACTTTTCTGTTTCACAATAAAAGCACACGAGGAGAGGGGAGGGGGTTATGCCCTTTTTAGGCTGCTCCAAAGCTTTTATTGTGAAATATCTCTGGCTCATCAGCAATTGGAAATAACGGTAAATCAAACCTAGCAATAATTAATTAGTGACAATTAGACAATTAGACCTCTTAATGAATGAATGAATGCATGAATGAATGAATGAATGAATGAATGAATGAATGAGGAGAGTATTGTACTGATGAACTTTGTTTGTGTCTCAGATGTTCACTGGCCTCCTGAAGCACACGCCTCCGGCCTCCGCTGCAGCAGCCTCCTCCTCTGCCTCGGACCAAAACAGCAACGCACAAACCACAGTTCCCACAATCCCACGGGGACACCTGGTCGTGGGCCCCAAGGACCAGCTCCGCCTCCTCACCCCCGTGGGCAGCACGGCGACGTCCAATCACTGCGCGGCCGCGGGGGCCCACGCCACTAAGCACTCCGAAGGCGCCCCGCGACCTCCGTCCTCCCTGAGCGAGGAGGACGATGGAGGAGGCGGGGGCAGGGTGAAGAAGAAACGAAAGAAAAAGGACAAGAGAGAGCGGGAGAAAGGAGGCGGGGAGGAGAGGGAGGAGAGGGAGAGCAGCAAACCAAAGAAACGAAAGGATGAGAAGGAGGCGACGACGGTGGTCACGCTGAGGAAGGGCAAGGAGCGGAAGGAGCGCAGGACCAAGGGGAAGGACGGCAGGAAAGAGGGCGGGGCAGACCCGAAGAATGCGGGAGGGGGGAAAACGTCAGGCGCCGCCGTGGCCCCCGGACCGGCTCAGGTGCCTGTTAAGGTGCCTGGTAAAAGAGGAAGGAAACCGAAGATCAAAGTCCTACCTCCTGTTCCCACGAATCAAGGTACGCAGTGACAGGCTGCAGTGTGTGGGGGTGGGGGGGTGGGTTGTCTCTGTGGGGGGTGTTGGAGTGGAGTGTGTGTCTGTGTGTGTGTGTGTGTGTGTGTGTGTGTGTGTGTCGGTTGGAAGGTGTTTGGTGGTTGTGTGGGTGGACGTCGTGATGTTCAATGAAACACAGACGTTGTCTTTATTTCCAGGTAGTGATGAAAAAAATCATGGCATCAAAAAATGTGGCATCGCTTATACATGAAACATAAAATACAATTATATAATTATTTAAATAAAGAACTGAATTATAAAACTAAATACTAAAATATAATTATATTATTAACCCCCCCCCACACACACACACACACACACACACACACACACACACACACACACACACACACACACACACACACACACACACGCACACACACACACACACCTGCGATATTTGGGCCACTACATCAAATTATTTTGGATGTTCCAGAGTCCAAACCAGATGCTTCAGTCATGTGACTGTAATAATGTTTGTTGCAGCTTTAAATGCAAATAAACCAAGTTAAACATCAGCAAGTTTTGAATCTCTGGCACATCTCTTTTAATACGACTTCCCGTAGTTCATCAGGTGTGTGTGTGTGTGTGTGTGTGTGTGTGTGTTGTGTGTTGTGTGTTTGTGTGTGTGTGTGTGTTGTGTGTTTGTGTCTCTGTCTGTGTTTGGTCAAAAACCAAAAGAAGAGTCGAACGTGTCTCACAGCTGAAACAACTCAGTGTTTTTTAATTGGAAGTCACAGATGACGATTGTTCTGTTTGTAAATGTCCTTTAAATCATGATCAGACGTGTCGCTATAAACGGATGTTATTATGAAGTGATTGTTGGATTTAATTAAGGCTGATGTGTGTGTTTGTGTGTGTGTGTGTGTGGGTGCATTAGCATTCTTTTAAAGCTGAAAAACAGATTTCTTGTGAGAATCAGAAATTGCATCAATGCCTGTCTGAAGCTGCTGAAAGTCTCTACAACATGTAGAACGGATGAATTCTGTGCATTAAGGTATAAATTAGAATCAAGTGGTGATGAGGGAGTGTGAAAAGGTCAGAGCATTTATTTTTTTGTCAGTTTAGCACAGTCTAATTCCTGCTGCATCACTTTAACCTTGTACCTGAAACATAAAATACAATAGTACAATTATATATTAATAAAACAATATATATATAATATAAAATACAATTATATAATATACATAATATGCATATTGCATGCATATATGCATATACATAATTATAAAGAAGATCGACCCACACCCTGCGACATGGACTACATCAAAATATTCAGTTGTGGATTCTGCAAAACCTAAACCAGATCACTTCAGTCACATGACTGTACCGACATTTGTTTCAGCTTTAAATGCAAATAAACCAAGTGGAACTGACACCTGAAACATAATAATGATAATATAATGACCCTTCAGTGCTTTATTGTACAGATGTAAATAACTCTTCTTCTTCTGCTGCTGCTTCTCACAGAGTGGTCCGCGGGCGACTGCAAGTAAATTTTGTGTTTTTAAATTTAGGTAACCGACTGTTTAGCGACACTGTCTACTCATGTAGCTACGTCAGTATAGATGGATAGATAGATAGATAGATAGATAGATGGATAGATAGATAGATGGATAGATTGATGACTTTATTAATCCCTGGAGGGAAATTAAAATGTCATAGCAGCTCAGTTAAAAGATAATAATGATACACAGTTTACAGTTCATGTTTTACGTCAACAATGACATTTGCAAAGAAGCGTGGATGAAGCTAACGGTTAGCTGCCCGGGGATTGTGCTAAATTTAACCAGGTATCAGCCTGTTAACTGTCAAAACACGGACAATGGGCAACATCATGGACCGGTGGCTGAAGACCGGGGTCGATGAAAAGAGTCACCACAAAGATTTCAGGTCTTTTCCATGCAGGAGTGCAGGAGGTGATCAAGCTGTGATCCCTCACTGGCTTCCCACCTGTGAAATTGCTCTTAAGAATATACCTCTGCTGGGAATGAAACCCCCGGGGGTCTGCAGTGAGGTTTTGCCGCTGCACCGTAGAGAAGTGGTTTATTAGCTTCCGTCAGTATGATGGAAAGATCAGATCCACGTCAGGAATGACTAGAGTTATGCTCAGTGTATCTTCTCCCTCTCCTCCTGCAGCACCTCCTCCTGCACCGGGACTCCACGCTAAGGTCCAGGTCCAGGCCAAGAACCACGGCCAGGCCAACAGCAAGACTCCAGCCCCCTCAGCGCCAAAACAGAGGGGCCGCAAACCCAGGTAAGACGCGGTGATACTGGCCTGGTGAATCATGGGAACAGGAAGAAAATTTATAACGTGCAAGATGAAAGAAAGAAAGAAAGAAAGAAAGAGAGGATTTAGTGGAAAGGAAGTGAAGAAGTCTGTGCTGGAGAAGAACTAGAAGTGGGCACTGATGGAGCAGAGCGAGCGAGGCTGCAGTAAACCTGTCATCCCCGACAAATTGTGCGGTTTCTCTCTGGGCAGCTCGGTAACAAATATCTCACTTGGAAGGTGTATTTGGGTTTTTTTTTGCTTTATTGTGGAGTCAGAAAAGATGGGGAGGAGCTTTATTTAAACCCAGGACAACACAGGAAACACAGTGTGGTTTGCACCTAAATGAGATGTTGGAATGAAGCTTTTGTGATTTTTGTAAAAATGCACCAGAATGAACTGGCAGCTGAAATTGGATTTGAGATGAATCTGCATGTGACGGATGAGTAAACAAATAGATGAGGGCTTTTCTAAATGGATGAAAACGGATGTGAACGAAACTGAAAAGAGGTTTTCTTCTGCGTCCAATTCGGTCATGAAACCTCCTTATACACAGCTCTCCTGTTTGTATGAACTCTGCCGCTTCCCTCTCTTTCTTAAAGATGCTTCTGTAGATGCATTTATTTTCTAACCTCATCTAACCCCATCCTGACCTTTAGCTGCACATCATCATCCATCATAAACATGACGTCCTGTCTGGTCATGTGATGCGATCATGTGATCTGCCATAATTTGGCAAATGAAACTTTCTGACCATTAAGATCGTTGACGTGTGTTTGATCGTTAGTAACTGAACAAACGTGTGATGAAGCAGCAGCTACAGACGAAAACAAAGAGACATGAGGCTGAACGGTTCAGACACACAACAGGTCACTGTTTCCCTTTTTCATCTAATGTGTTTTAACAGCTTATAAATGATTTATAAAGCGTTAACACGGTCATTAATGAACTAGCTATAAACCATTCATAAATCCTTGATGAGCGGAGTCTGATTTGTGTTTTGGTAAAGCAGTCGCGGCTCCAGCTCATGTTCGCTGAGTCCATCATTTCAACAGAAACAAACACGTCGACAAACTGCTCGTCTTCTTTTACCAGAGTTTTGTTTTTAACAACACAGAAAATATGTGTTTTTTTTTTAATGGCAGGATATTTTTTTCACCTCTCATACCCCTGCCCGTCTTCCTGCCTCCTCTTTTGTGTCTTTCTTTCTATTTCCTCCCTCCTCAGTGTCAGACCACTTCACAGCAGCTGAGTGCTCTTCAGGTCGCGGAGCAGAGATAAAGACACAATGGCAACGCCTGATATAACACATTTTTCTGTTTTTTTTTATTTTTTTTTAGTTACAGATGTAAGAGCTATAAGACTAATGAAGAAAAAGAAGGATTATTCTTTCCGTCCATTAACAGGTCTGTCGTGTGTGTGGCGTTTCCTCTTCCAGCTCAGTGTGGCAGATGTTGTGTTTAAAGAAAACGACAAACACAGAAATGAAAATACAGAAACTTCAGAAAGAATTCAGACGCCTTTCACTTTATTTTGATGTAGATTTATTTAAAAAATTCCATTTTTTTGCCCATCAATTTACAATCAATAATCCATGATAACAAAGTGAAAATGTGAGACCAGAGCCGGAGACTAGCAGACGGGTCAGAGCAGTTAGCGCAGTTAGCATGTTTTACTTGTTTATGTTGTTTGTTAGCTTGTAACTGACAGTGGCTGACACAGTGTTAGCGGTTGTGCTAATGCTAACTCTCTCTCTGTACTGACGAGGTGTCAGGTGTATTTAGCCCCGCCCCCCTGTCCCCACAAGTTGACAGGATTGGTTCCTGAGGTTTGTGACGTATAAAACCCTGAATCTGTGTTTGTGAGACTGTGATTGGTTCACTGCAGTTCAAGGTGGAAACACTCATGATGTCATGGTGCTGATGATCATTTCACTCATCATATGTCTTTGTTGTATGTTTTTATATTTAACATTATAATATGTTAAACACTGGATTGACAACAGAGCAGAGTCTGTAACATTAAGACCTCAGGCGTCCACTAAAACGTCCTAAAACCTGAGGGTTTTCAGACAAACCTGCATTCACTTAAACCTTCATCTCTCAGCCTCTGAAGCAGGTAGAAACATGAAATAAAAACCATTTCAGAGCTCAAACCTCTGACTCCTACTGTCAGTCACTGGCTTTGCCTTTGGAACTGGATATAGCTGGAAAAACAAGCACATTTTGTCTTTTTAAAATGTTGATGAACTTTAGGGTAAAGGCAGTGATTAACAATAAAAACCTGAGTAAATGAGAAATTTTAAAGCTGCAAAAAATTTCTAAAAACATATTTTCACCTTGTCATTATGGATTATTGATTGTAGACTGATCCATTTTTAGAAAGAAATCTACATCACAGTCTGTATCTGTGTATAAACCAAGGTAAATCACTGGTCGTGTTCTGAAGCGCCACAACTTGCCTCTGGTACAAAGTGACATCCTGACCTCCTGAATTACATCTCCGCAAAGAGCTTATAAATTCTAGAGCAGTGTCGCGGCAGGAAACCAGAGCACTCATGTGTTGTGTTGAGAGTCTGAATTCACAAAGAGACCAAAGAGGCAAGTGCAGATCTCAAATATATTTCTGGCTGACTTCGTCAAGAGGGAACAGAGTTGAGTCCGGGTTGTGATAGTATAATGTGGAAGAGAGACAGGACAGTGAAGAGAGAGAGAGAGAGTCTCCGACAGAAGGAGATATAAGTAGTTTTATGATTCAAAAAGTGGGAAGACGAGAAAGGGAAAGTCGTTCAAAATAAAGTGTGAATAAACGGAGGAAGAGAGAAGAGATGAGTCACCGATGTGAAGTTGAGGAAGGCAGGAAGAAGACTGACGAGAGACGGAGAGAGAGAGAGAGAGAGNCATAGCTGGAAAAACAACACGGGTTAAGTGAGGGTGAGAGGAAAAAAAAAAAAAGTAATGATATGAAAGAGATGACAGCAGATATGACATGAGGAGATCCACTGAGAGGAGGAGGAGGAGGAGGAGGAGGAGGGAGGTCGTTGGACGAGACTCACTCGGGGTCATTTTCAGGTTGTGCTCTGGCATCGGGTCATGTTTTGTTCTGAAGACGATTAGAAAATCCTCATGTGGTGCAGTTTTTAATTCCATCTGAATCTGCTGCTTTGTCTTTTCTCAAAGAGAGAGAGAGAGAGAGACAGAGAGAGAGAGAGAGAGAGAGAGAGAGAGGCCATTAGCTGAGACTGGAGATTAATCTTGTTTTGTTCGTCCGACCACAGCTGCCAGTACAGTCCCGACTTCACTCGCTCCTCTGAGCAGTTTGCCAGCTTCACTTTTTAAAAAAAGGAAGAAGAAGAAGAAGAACATCACCTCTAAAGGACGTTCACAGTGTCAGACGTGGAAACAACGAGTCCGACAGCTGAGGTTTAATGATTCCTTTGCTTTTCTAAACCTGTCAGATACTGCGGGGAGATTAGTCTCCGTGTGTTGACTGAGTGAGTGATCACAGTTCCACCGCTGGTCAGCCGTGTGCCTCAAACAGTTGGTATTAGGAGGCTGTTGACAGGCTGCAGTGTTCATTTGTCGTTAGTTCATTTATTAAGTTCATGCGACGATGCAATTGAACATAGTTTCAATACAAANCGGGAGGAAAGACGCGCTGACGAATGAAAAGGAATGAAGGTTATTGAGAGAAGAGATGACAATCAGCGCCGTGAACGAGAAGAGAGAGGGAGAGACACGGGTTAAGTGAGGGTGAGAGGGAAAAAAAAAAAAGTAATGATATGAAAGAGATGACAGCAGATAAGACATGAGGAGATCCACTGAGAGGAGGAGGAGGAGGAGGAGGAGGGAGGTCGTTGGACGAGACTCACTCGGGGTCATTTTCAGGTTGTGCTCTGGCATCGGGTCATGTTTTGTTCTGAAGACGATTAGAAAATCCTCATGTGGTGCAGTTTTTAATTCCATCTGAATCTGCTGCTTTGTCTTTTCTCAAAGAGAGAGAGAGAGAGAGACAGAGAGAGAGAGAGAGAGAGAGAGAGAGAGAGAGGCCATTAGCTGAGACTGGAGATTAATCTTGTTTTGTTCGTCCGACCACAGCTGCCAGTACAGTCCCGACTTCACTCGCTCCTCTGAGCAGTTTGCCAGCTTCACTTTTTAAAAAAAGGAAGAAGAAGAAGAAGAACATCACCTCTAAAGGACGTTCACAGTGTCAGACGAGTCCGACAGCTGAGGTTTAATGATTCCTTTGCTTTTCTAAACCTGTCAGATACTGCGGGGAGATTAGTCTCTGTGTGTTGACTGAGTGAGTGATCACAGTTCCACCGCTGGTCAGCCGTGTGCCTCAAACAGTTGGTATTAGGAGGCTGTTGACAGGCTGCAGTGTTCATTTGTCGTTAGTTCATTTATTAAGTTCATGCGACGATGCAATTGAACATAGTTTCAATACAAAGCATGAAGCTGATGTGTTGCACAGAGAGTTTATAGCTGTTGCTTATTTTCAACTCTTGCCCCAAGTCGGGTTTTTGCTGCAATGTTTTCATCATCATAAAAACCACAACACACTACGGACATGACAGTAGAGGAAAATATTTAAATTGAACTGCACAGATTGAGATGAACACTCGAAGAAGAGACAACAACAAAAAGCAAAAACAAGACAAACAAGTGATTATATCATATATATTGATTTTATTATAATAATATAGTGATTTAGAGACTTTTTCAAGAAAACACCAGGCGACAAATCCAGTGCTCTCTCTCTCTCCCTCCCTCCCTCTCCCTCCCTCTCTCTCTCTCTCTCTCTGTCTGTCTGTCTGTCTGTCTGTCTGTCTGTCTCTC